GCATTTACCTTATAATAATCTTAACTTATTAACCTAAACAAGAATTTTTGCGGATTTTCATATAACATAGAAATCACACGGCAATATAGATATATCACATTATACATAGAAGCATTTAAGTGGATTAATCATTTTTTTCATACTAATTTGTCAAGACTAATGAAATATATATGAGAAGACATGCAAAATTTGAAAAAATAATTAACTCATATATCCTACTAAACCAAGTGATGCTTTTTTTCAAGTGAAAGAAGGAAGAAGAAGTAGTATGTAGGTGAAGGATTTCGACCAAGGCAAGGAAGAGGATAAAGAGAACTAAGGTTAGGGCTTGGCTCTGGGTCTGAGGAAGTGAAGAAGAGAGAGGGAGAAAGGGTTAAGGTTTTTTGCTATGGGAAAAAGTGAGTTAGATTTAAGATTTTGACCATAAGAAGGATCGATGTGTGTATGTGTGTGTGAGGGTATGTTTTGGTTATGGGGAAAAGGAGGAGAAAGAGTGAAAGCGTGAATGGTGTTTTTCAACTATGGGAAAATGAGGAGGGGGAGTGGAAGTGGGTGTGTGTTTTGACTATGGGAAAAAGGAGGAGGGAGGGTGGAAGTGTGGTGGTGTATTTTGGTTATAGGAAAAAGGTGGAGGGAGAGTGTAAGTGCGAGAGGTGTGTTTCATCTATGGGGAAAAGAAGAAGGCAGAATGGGAGAAGGGGATTAGAAATGAGGGTTCTCAACTAAGAAAGAAAGGAGGAAGATAAAAAAAGTAGGGTTTTTTGGCAATGGAAGAAAAAGAGAAAACAAAAAAGAGGAAGGTGAGTGTCTCAGCCAAGGAAGAAAAATATAAGGAGAAGGGTAAGAAAAGTAAAGTGTTTTGACCAATGTGAGAAGGAGAAGGCAAAGTGGGGGAAGAATGAAGTGGTTTGGCCAAGTGAAATGGAGAAGGAGAAGAGGGAGAAGAATGAAGTGTTTCTGCCAAAGGAGAAGGAAGTAGAAAAGGAAGTGGAGAGAGAAGGAGAAGGGTCACATTTGCTAGTAACAAACTATATTATAATTTACATTAAGAACAAAATTAAAAACGAAAGAGTATACCTTGCTTTACTTGAAGTGGAAGCCACCTTGATTTCCTTGGTTGAGTGAAGAAAGAGCCCTTGATTTCCTTGGTCAAGAAAAAGGAAGGGGATGATGGTGTTTTCAGCCAAAGGTGGAAGAGGATGAAGAAGCCAGAGAAGATGAGGGGGACGACTATAGAGGAAATGAGGAGTAGCTTTTGGTCAAAAAGGGTATTAAGGAGGGAATGGCTTGGAAGAAAATAGGAGACAAATTTTCTCCAAATTTTGAATGAAAGGGAGGGAAAATTTAAATTTTAGGTGACAGTAGTAGCTTGGTCCTAAAAACACAACGCTAACTCATTTGAAAGAAAATAATTTGATTAATGCAATGGTGAAAACATGTTTGGTTGAGGTGGTCCCTATCTCAAGAAATTTTGATTTAAAGTGGCAATGCGGTTATAGGTGGTTGGAGGTGGTTATGGCCAAAAATTTGATCTTGACTCATTTGCCTCAAAAAAAAGAGGAGAATGTGCCAGTGAAGTTGGTTTTGGTCAAGATGGGTCATTTCTTGATATTCGAAGTCAATGAGCAGGCTCCACATTATGAGAGAGAAATTTTTATTAGATTTTGCATCCAAATTTTTAATGAATTTTGATTGATTGAATTTAGCCTTTTTAACTAAAATTTACTTTTGTTGAAGTTTGGTTTTAATTTGAGTCCATGTTGATTGAGTTATTATGATTATTCCTTTTATTATCAAAATTATCATCTAAATGATCGTAATCTTAACCCACCTCCAAATGAAGTATAGTTGGGCATGAAGGGGTTCATTTTAAATGCATCGATGATCTGAATATACTTGCGTAGTTCTTTTTAAAAAATAACTCTTCATTGAAATATATTTTATGTAGAACCATTTTTTTATGTATGAAAACTCAAAATAAAAAATTTTACAATAAATGTTGCACAATCATCATCAAACTATTTTGTATACTTCTAATATATGAGAGTGAACACCATGCAACTTACATAATAAAATTTTAATCACTAAATTGATCTATGGGAGCACTATTTATGCATAAAAACTCAACAAAAAGTTTTATGTAAACATTATGTCATATAAGCATTGCACTTGTTTATATGTGATAATAGACATTATGCAACTTTCAGAATGATGTTTTAATCTCTACTATAATCTGCCAAAAAGAAGACAAATTTAGTGTGTATTTTATTTTAAGCTAATTTTTAGTTGAATTTTAGGATTTAGATAAACTTGGTTACATTTGGTTCCGTCTTAGTTTGATTAATTTTAATTTTGTTCAGTTTGTTTTTTATTTTAAATTAAATTAGGGTTGGTTTAAATTTTAGTTTAAGTAAGTTATAGCTTATCTAGTGATATTAAGAGAGTGGCTTTATGTCTTGATAAGATTGAATATATGTCAAGAACAAGAGTTGACCAAAAAATGAGCTCAACACTAATTTTGACACTTTTAATCCGATGTGTAAACTAAAAATTATATGGAGTTATTATAATTCTAATTCACTCCTTTTTTTTTTCTTGATGTTGCAAAAATTGTCATTATATTTGCATTATTATGAACAAACAAAAATCATTCTATTTGATTTAGTAAGAACCAAAAAATTTATTCTTTTTGGAAATCTTTAGCTCAAATAGCTATCACAATTAGAATTGTCTCTCTATTAAGATTTTTAATAATAGTAAATTATTCTTTTTCTTTAATCCTTAGTTGCATGATTATTCCCTTTATGTGAGATTTAGCAACTGTATTTTTTCTTGTGTAATTGTTCATTGGACAGTAAAGTTGGTAATGTTGATAATAACAGTATTATTATTAATTGGATTTTACTTATAAATTCTAACATTCCTAATAATTACACTCCTATCGGGGATGATCCTCCAGAATGTTATTTAGAGGAGAAGACTATTTATTCTTATCTTGATGTTTGATTATTTTCTTAAGATAATCATATTGAGATTAAATGGAAGAGCTTCATTAGGCTCAAAGCTCAATCTTTCGAATATGTCATTATTGCTTGGAAAATGCTTATTTGAAGTTTAAAAATTAAATATGTCTTCGTAGTCGTGGATTAGATAATAACTCTTTATGTGTTCTTTGAAACTCTCATAATGAGACTCATACAAAATTTTATTTTGAATGCATATATTTCTTAAATGCTTCTCAAAACTTGTATTCATGATGACAGTTTTTATTAGTTTAATTGCTCTTGGGACACTGAAGTTGGTAGTGCAATTAATAACAATAATTAGGTTTTACATATAAATTCTAGCATTCCTAGCAATTGCATTTATATTATTATTGACATTCATATTAGGGATATCCTCAAGAATGTTATTGGAAGGAGAAGAACACACATTCTTATTGTGATGTTTATTTATTTTTTTATGATAATCACACTAAAATTAATTGGAAGAGCTTAGTTAGGATCAAAGTACACTTTCAAATATGACCTTATTGCATGGAAAGTTTTTATATGAAGGTTAAAAAATAAAGTTGTCTTTTTAGGTGTGGTTGGATGTTAACCCTTATGTATTCTTATAACTTTTATAATGAGACTCAATACACATTTATTATTTGAATGCATATATTCCTTATACTATTCTTATTGTGATGTTTATTGATTTGCATATGATAATCATACTGAGATTAATTGAAAGTTAAAAGATCATTCTATCCAATATGTCATTAGTACTTGGTAAAATGCTTATTTGCATGTTGAAATTTAAAGAGGTCTTCATATCCATGGATTAGGTGTTAATCCTATTTGTGTTTTTTTAGTTATTATAATAAGACTCATACACAATTATTTTTTGAATTCATATATTCCTTATTGCTTCTTAAAGTTTGCCTTCTTTGTAATAGTTTTTTTGTAGTAGTGTGATTGCTCCTGAGCCACTAAAGTTAGTAAAGTTATCACCCCTAAACTTAAATGCTTAATAATAATTTAAATTTAAAGTTCATTTATAATGAAAGTAATATTTTGGGCTTATAATTAATTTGGTTTTTTTTTCTTGAGTGATAAACAAAGTCATAAATGTGATGCATTTAATATCAACCAAAAAAAAAATCATATTTAAAATTAAGAGAAGTGGCACTTAAAAATATACACACACACACACATATTTATATATAAATGTATGTATGTATGTATGTATATATATATATATATATATATATATATATATATATCTATATATAAATACATATATATATATCAAATATCGGTTAAAATAAAATTCAGTTATATATCATTTTACTAATTATTTGGTTAGAATATGCTTAGAACTGCTAATTTTGACAATAACAATTTAACATTCATTTTACAGTTATTATGACCATTGTTTGCACATTGTTACGGAATTAAATGAAATATAATTCTTTTTTATTCACAAATAGAATATGATATCGTAATTAATTTACATGTGAAATCAAGTTTTAATGATTTTGATATAAATAAGAAATATTTAGCACAATTTAAGATATACACTCATAATAATTATCTTTAAAAAAATTAATTTTAATTTATTTAAATTGATATTTACGACTATGTGTATGTATTAAAGTACGAATAACCAATCCTCTTAAAATTTGCAATAAATAATCAAAAGCATGAGTTAAGCTTTGCTGCATCAGATCAACGTCAAACGAAAAAATATTATATCAGGACCTTTGATGCATTCAGAGTCTAATGATGGGGCTCCAATATTTTTAACATCGGTCAATTCCAGTGTATTACAGTGGGCCCGCTTGACACGCAGCGCCCCACCATTAGACTCAGAACGTCAACTGCATTGGGAGCCCTGATGTAATATTCTCTCACACACAACTGTCTCCGAACGTAAACTGTGTTAGCCATATATATATATATAAAATAATGAAGATTTGATTTTTCTTATAGAATCAAAACAGCACAAAATCATCAAAAATAACTCGGTTTTATAAAGTTAAATGTGAATTATACGAGAAAATAAATCTAGAAGACGTAGAAACCCTGTATAATCTATCTGTATTCTTCAGGAAGACGATAACCAGTCTTGACTATTTTATCAGCAAACATTTTGCCCGTCTTAGGCATCACATGCCAATGCAGCGTCAGATTGTACTCTTTTCCCCTTAGATTGCTCCCCTGCAGTATATAAATACATACATATTCCATAAATAATAAATAGGTGGTGGCATTTACATGCATACCACCCAATTCCTATGTATTTGCATATCTACAACCTAAAATCAAATTTTTTCCCATCACATGAAAAATGGCACTATTCTTAACTTTTCATATATAGGTAAAGATGGCATATATATAAAAATTGAACTTTAGGTGTTAAGATATATAAATATACCGTAATTGAGTGGGTATGCATATAAATTTCGTAATTGAGTGGTACTGATTAGTGTATTTTTCAGGTGATTTTAGCACTTGAAAAGAAAGTAAAATTTAAATACCTGGTCAATAAAACGATATTTGTTGGAAGTGTGAATCCAGAACTTTGCATGTTCTTTTGTGGGGATTATTGCATCCCAAAGCGAGATCTGTTGAGCAAAATGACTTGTTGATGGTCGAGATATGGAAGAAAGGGACTTTTACATACACACAACACAATTCCTATGTATTTGCATATCTAACACCTAAACTTCTATATATACTTACATAACACTCAACTTTTTGACATCACATCAAAATTACAAGTATCAGTAACTTTCTTAAAGTGAAATACACATTTACATGCATAAATTTTTAATGCTGATGCGTTATAAAGGCAACACTCAACTTTTTGACATCACATCAAAATTACAACTATCAGTAACTTTTTTAAAGTGAAATACACATTTTCATGCATAAATTTTTAATACTGGTGCGTTATAAAGGTAGATATCAATCTGAAGTGTTGTATATGTCCATGCATAAGAATTGTGTAATGTACGTAAATTTTCGAAACAAAAGACAAATACAACGCCGAAATCAATGTATCTTAATTTTTGGTTCAAGGAGTGTCAAAATAACTATCAACCTATTATACAAGTAAAACAATGATATGAGCTGGGATGAACAATCTGCAAATGGAGAAACTAAGGCCTCGTTTGAGAAAACTTCCATACTGCTTTCTGTCTGTAAAGTCACTTTTTTCATTTGGTAACTTCTTGGTTTTAATGCTTTTTCCAAAAATGCTTTTAAAAAAACTCTATTTCATGCTATTTCGGAATGTTATTTTTATTGAACTTTAAAAAGCTGATTTTCTTGAAACAACTTTTTAACAGAACTTTATGGAATAAAAGGCTCATCAAAGTATCAAACAAAACCAAACAATAACGTTAATAATGCCCACATCTTGAAGACAATGACAAAAATTTCAAAGCTTTATCCCAACAACCTTATATCATTGATCAGCCCCTTGGGAAATCCTACTTGTCACAACTAACTTTAATGCCAAACAAGTTACCAAGAACCTGAATCCATCACCATCTAGAATACAAGCTTTTTTTTGTAATGAATGAAGGAAAGGTGAAATCGGGCCCGGGAAGTGTTGCGGAGCAGGAACTAATAGTAAAAGTGAGTTAAAAACATATAGATCAGCAGATCTTTACAATGAAGGGGAAAACATTCGAGCAATCTCACAAAGATTCATATAAGAAATAATGAGCTCAAGGTTGAAGTATATAAAGTTTTGACAAGAAGTGCTACATCCTCAGTGATCATAATCATTCAAAACAAGGCCCTCATCACGATGGCAAGTTAAATTTAGTGATTCCATTTTTTTTCTTTGTAATTTTTAATTTTAGTATTTTGATATGTATAAATTGAATTCTCTTGACAGCGGATGTATTGCCTATTATTTTGATTCCATAGTACAAGTAAAAAGTTAGTTCGTGGATAACTCCAGATTCAAGTGCTGTAATTTGCTATTTTTTCATTAAATTAGTTTTTTTAAGTCGCTCATGGGTTAATTTATGAGGCTTAATATATGTATGAAAGTCATTATACAATCCGAAGACTTCCAGTCAGCACCAAGATTTGTTTCTTTGCATGGATATCAATTAGATAATAAGTTGCTTTGGATGAGATTTTTAGATTTTTATTTCATGTGATTATGCTTTATATGTTGTGCCACTTTCTTATTTTTTGATACTGTGAAAATAGTGGTTGGTTGAATAATGGTGTTCAATCAGTATTAAATAAATATTTTGGGTTCTTCATTTATGCCTTGAATTTTCAAAAATCTTGAACTAAACTAATTTTTTATTCTACCCAGCCATATATATTAACATAGGGATGATAAGTTCATAAATAAATAGTCTACAAGACGTAATTATTATACTTTGATTCAATAAAAATTAATTTTCCAATTTTTTATTTTATGTGTACAAGTGTATTAATAGTGTAACAATCAAATTTCAAGAAAAGTTTATCTCCTTAAAGTAAACATTACCACAGAGTATGGCACTCTCTGCATATGACTAATGGAGGTTTTACTAGAGCCTGAACTACTTGATTAAGATCTCTCCACACATAATTTCATGGTTTAGTCTCTTATTTGGCTAACTCATTACAATTTACTCTCCTTCCATATAAACTTCTACAATTTCATTCTCCTTCCATATATTAGACTTTCCCTCCAACAATTTCATCCTAGTTTTCCGATTACATCAGCTAAGCATTCCCTATATCACAAGATACAATATTTTCTTCAATCAGAATTAAAATAAATCTCTCCTTACGGAAAAATTACATATGAGTTCGTGAAAATTAAGGCACAGATATATCATCACGTTTACTAGTTCTATTTGATAACGAAAAAATTATCTTTTGGTTTTTCTCTAACATTATCCTTAACATATTTTCATTCAAATTATCCACTCCACGATGCATCGAAACATGATTATGGGACAGTATCTTCCCTTCTTATAAAAATACAATATAACTCTCAAAATTTCTTTGAAAAAAACAATGTTGTTAATCAGAGCACTGACTATGCATGGATGGAGTTCAGAAATTACATCCAACCATTAATCAGAGCACTGACAATAGAATAAATGGCAGAATATGCATTAAACAACAAAAAGATTAAAAATATATATATATGTCAAGGACAAATCAATTTCCTCTCAAGTGATATTGAACAAAACAAAATTTCAACAAATTAATAGAAGGGGTATAATGCAATCAGAAGAAAAGATATCCAGATCCAAGCATGCAGTACATAGAGTGAATAGCTACAACGTACCTGGTTCAGGGCATTTTCGGAGGTTTCATATTCGGCAGCTAAAAAAACGAACACCTGTAAAGTAAAAGAATAGATGATATATTAAAAAACACATATTAGCATTCACTTAAACCACCAGGAAATGATAAGCTACAAAAAGAAAGAATTTGTTATTGAAAGAATCGTAATAAACAAGGAAACAAATAAAATTAAAATATTGTTGCCTAGAAAAACATCTAAATGCAAAAAACCATAGTTCGATGATGAATGAGCTCAAAGAATTGTTGCCTAGAAAAACAATTCCATATTTATTTATATGCTGAAAATGAAGCTCTCATCATTATATTAGAATGATGATGAAAGTGAGGTATTATTCAAGACGGTAAAAAGTAGATTTAGATGAATGTAGCATGAATAATGAAAGGTAGAAGCCGCACCAACAAATCGAGAAAAAATTGATATCAAAGAATTAGAAAAGAAAATTAGCAGACCATAACTAATATGGCAAAAAGCATCCAAAAATATATTTGCACTAATAAAATAGCACCCATCAAACACTCTATAGGAATGAAGGGAGGATGATTTTGTTAGATCGGGATCAATGAGAAATTTAGCAATTTTATATTTATTATTGTTTGATATAAATAGGATTTTATAGGATTAGAGTTATGATATGTGTGATAATTGTCTTGAATCATAGGATTAGCGTTTGAGAGAGATCGCTTACCTTTCAAATTATAGGTATTAGGGTTAGGATTTGGGAGAGATTGTCTACCTCTCAAATTGTAGATGTTTATCTTTTATGTATTTGGATTGTATTGTTTTATTTAAGTGAAGAAAAAAAATTTTGTTTTATCCTAATTTTTGTAGAAGTTCCTATCAAACTGACATCAAAGCAATCGATCTATGGGTAAAAATAATGGGCAAGTGTACTGGTTTTAGAACAGAGAACCCAATGACGGAATTGGGTGTGTCGTATTAGTGATCTGAGAAACCAACAAGTGGATCGGGAGTGTGCTAGTGACCGAACCTTGCGATCTGGGAAGCTGACGACGGGATTGTCATTCCTATCTTAATTCAAGTTAGCTGAGAGTCGATGGGATCACAATTTTACGTAGTTGCGTAGCAAATGGCGAGATCGCAGCATATAGATGACGACATCACGACATATAAGCGATGGGATTTCCATGTACATAGAAAAATAAAGCTTCGATTTGAGATCACGGGATGTACAAACAACGGGATCATGGTGGACAGACGATGTGATTCTGGTGTACAGAATAATATAATCACTCAATTCGCCTAGCAAGGAAGCAAACGATGGGATCACAGCTTACAGTGACATAAACATGTGATACAGTCACAATTTAAGCTAGTCGGAAAGCCAACAACCATATAGAGTGTTGCCTTTGTGATAAAAAAATTTCTTGAGAGTAATGGAAACAAAAAAGAATAGACCTTCTAAAGGAGAAATTGGACATAGAGTTGAGTTAAATCAGATCTGAAATAGACCAGCATTTCTCTGCCATGGAAGGCTGATTCTCGTGCCTGGAGAAGAGATTCATGATTCTGAAAGAAACGATGAAGAACGTGAAGTTTTACACAAACCCGCCACCGCCCGTAGCGAGATTGAGCGATGGCGTCGAGAACATACACGAGTAGCAGCAATATGAAAAATTTATGCGGCATCAGAGCAGTGTAGTTGCCTTGGGCGGATCTAGAATCACAAATCAAGTGAAAGAATAGAGAGCGGACTCAAGAGGTAGCACTTGGAAGGAATGGCATGACATTCGGACGGCTGGAACAAGCGAAAGCAAGCAGGATTGATCATAGGAGTTGGGAGACTAGAGCGACGACACTTAGAAGAAATAGCACAACAGCAAATAGCTAGAACGAACAGAAGCAGGCAGAATTGAGCGAAGGAGTAGGGAGTGGATTAGAGTGGCATCCTCTAGAGGGAATGGTGCGACATATCAAGGTTTTGACTTAGCGGCAACATACAGAACGAGACGGCGTGTTATTCAAGGCTGGACAAGATCACTTCGAAGAATGTTGGCCTGGAAAAGGGAAACTAATTGGGTGAGATCTCGGCGGAGAGCTGCATCCAAACGCGCCAGTGCCTTTTGTTGTGGCATCCTTACGAGCTGAAGGCGATTACGGAGCAATGATGGGAACGGGGCAAGTGGAAAAGAACAAGAGAGTTTAAAAGGGGCTGATTTTGACACTAGAATTTTTAATAGGTAAACAAGATGATAGAACTTTGCCAAGACCTTAATTTGTGCAAGATATGGACGAATCCATCAAAGGCGGACGCTATGTTCGAGTGATACCTAAGACCTTGAAAAGGTTGAGAAGATTTCTAAAACTTATATGATACTACTGAAATTTCGTGAAGGGTTGTAATTTGATTGTGTGGTCGTTGATAGAAAGAAAACTTTCTGTGAGCGAAAGCGATAACCATGGCTTTTGAGAAGTTAAAAAATATCATGACGAGTGTACCAATGTTGGTGTTACCTGATTTCGGCCAATCTTTCAGGCCATGGATTAGGCAGATTCCTCAAGTAGTGTCAATGATCTATCACTTATTTCAATCAAGTGTTGATAACAGGAGCTAGAATCAAAACGTTTATGAGTGAGAGTCGCACGACTTGATCCATTAATTGTTTTTTTTTTTCCGCCTAAGAGACTACATGTCATTTGGGAGGGGAGTAATGTTAGACTGTCGTCTAGGAGTAATTTAGTAATTTTATAGGTATAATTCTTTGGCATAAATAGAACTTAATAGAATTAGGGCAATGTTATGTGTGATTATTGTCTTGAATATTAGGGTTAGGGTTTAAGAGAGATCGTTTAACTCTCAAATTGTAGGCGTTAGATTGTCTACCTCTCGAATTGTATGTGCTTATCTTTTATGTATTCGGAAGTTTTGTGTTGGTGGAGAAAAAATTTTTTATTTTGCCCTAATTTCTATGAAAATTCCTATCAAATTTATAATGTGGACCTAAATAGTTAGGATAAACTAATGATGATCATACCTAAAAAGGAATGTTAATCTTCTGCATCTAGAAGAAAAAAACATATTTGTTATGGATCAGCTACGAAGTTAAAAATTTGATAACAATGCTTGACGATAATAATGGATGAGAGATAGGTTGGTCAACTTGAAACTGACATATAAATTACAAACACAGCTTTGCAAGCCAATGAATCTCTCCAAAACTATAAAGCATGCACTGTAACATCCCACAAACTTAATCTCATTTACCTTGTTAACATGCTCTTTAAGTTGATTCTAACCTCATCCAACTTCTAAATTAGAACAAAAGTGTATTATTGTTGTGTCTATCATCACACAAGGCACCGTTCATCGCCTTCCATTTGAAATCACAAATTGCTACAATTGTAACTTCCCTACCCCTCAACCACTCTCTGCCTACTTCGCTCGAAAATGAATGAATATTTGAACCTACGTTCTCCTCCTGTTCATTTTTCCCTATTCACAACCCATCTCTCTCTCTCTCTCTCTCTCTCTCTCTCTCTCTCTCTGTATATATATATAATGAGAGTGGATAAATTTTCCTGAACTTGAATTTATCTATGCCTGTGATAGAGATGGTTGAACTCATAAAAGAGGTTAGCACCGACGACTTGCCAAATATTTAAGGTTAGAACTGAGCACTCGATATGCTCTCAAAATCATTTATATTTTCAAGGTACACTATTCTGTGCTGCCAGTTGAAATATATTGAAGCATCCATGAACAAAACCAGAAGAAAACAGTGCTGAACATCACTTAGTAAATCCTTTTGGGCAGAAAATAATTCTCTACACGCTCAAATAAAGCTCTGGTAGATAGAATATGCATATTCCAAATAAAACCTTGCATTGGATTCAACTTTAAAGCATTAATTTCCACTAAACAGCTAAACTGATTAATTGGCAACCCTTCTACACTTTGGCCTCACCCCACTCTTACTTTTACTCTCTTGAACGCTGCAATGCACCAGAATTCTCGAAATCATTACTCCATGGAAGGTGTTTTGGAAATGGATTTATCAGGGAGGCGGTTGTTGGCTAGCAAAGGATGAGAAAATAGGAGGTCGAAGGTGTTTGAAAGGAGATAGGAGTGATTTGGTGACTGTCCGGGCTGAAAACAGCATAGAGAACCACAAAATGCAAGGTGATAGGAGTGATTGATGGAGAAAAGGTTCCACCGCTTGTTCCTAAACAAGCTACAAACACAATACTTACAAAAGGAAGAGAATACAGTACTCCATAGAGCAAAAATGAGATATTACAATCTCTAAATTGCACAAACAAAGCTAAAATTCCTCAAACCATTAAATAACAACATATAAAAAGTTTCCTCTCAAAATAACCATAATTATAATTAAAATAACATAAAAAGTAGGCCCATAATGACCTAGCGACAACGACATATTATGGGAGATTCCCACTACCTCAATTGCGAGTCCCGTGTATGCAGAAGCGCCTAATTCCCGAAATTGTGGAATCGAGATTAAGGAATTCTGAACAGGACGCTCCCGCTCAATTCCATATTCAAGCAACTTAACAAAACCATTGCTCAATAAATATTAGAGTCGTCAAAACGGCTCGTGTTCGGCTCGTTCGCTAAGTTAACGAGTCAAACATAAACTAAGATTTATTCGTTCGTTTTCGGCACGTTTTGGCTCGAAACAGTTTCCTCAGACATCATTAGAGTTGTCAAAACTTGCTTGTTTGTATCAGTGGAAGCATATATGGGTGGAGGTGGATTCTACAGTGCTACTTCAACTGTTGTCAGGGGAAGAGTCTCCTTCCTAGCATCATTCGCAATGGGTACAAAAGATCAACTCCTTCAAACCTCTTCTTTTGGTTCATGTTTCCTTCATCTTTAGAGAAGGAAATCGCTCTGCCAACTGGCTTGCTAGACTAGGCCTTTATTCTCATGTAAACTCTCTCTTCCTCCCCACCCCCATCTCTCCTTTTTTTGCTTGAAGGGGACCTTTTGGAAGACCCCACCTCAGACTTGTAACTGGAGATTTCAATTAATAGATAATTTCCTCTTATATTTT